TCTCCGCGATGAAATCGTAGGTTGACGTCACGCGTCACCATCTCCTTGGCCATGCTCAACACCGTGTTCGCCTTGCACAGCTGGCCGACCGTCAAGTCTGGCGTCCGCTGTTGTAGGTCACTGACGTCATAGGCTAAACCAGGTAGTGTCGTCCGCGCGGGCCACGATAACTGTTGTCCCAGGCTGCGGTACTTCGAGAGCTCTTCCTCGGTCGCCTTGCTCTCGGGGTCCTTCCTCCTGGATGCCGGCACGAAGATCTTCTCCGTCTTCTCGATGTACTCGTGCTGGTCGACCTCTATGGACTTATCCGGCAGCTGATTGATGCGCCGGCCGAGGAACTCGAACTGACCCTGCTTCTCCTTGGTCACGTTGAGCTTCTCCCGTACGATCTCCTTTGCTCTGGCGAAACGCTCGCCTGTACCGCCCCAAAGTCCGTCGTCCACGTGAACACATAGGACCGCCTCGATCTTGCCCTTGTCGTTCCGAATGACAAACACTCCTTTCATGGTCTTGAGCGGCTGGAATCCGGCCTGGATCAACACCTCCGAGAATCTTTCCCACCATAAGCGAGGTGACTCTCGTAGTCCGAATACACCCTTGAGCAGTTCCACCAAGCTCCCAGCAGGAACTCCAGGTAGTCCTTCTCGGGGAGGCATCACATATAACCGTCTCGTGTTTGTCTTGCCAGTGAGGAACGCCGAGCCGATGTCGAACGTCCCGAGATCCCAGCCAAAATGCGCCGCCAAGTTCAGCAGTAGCATCAGCCCTACCATGGGCGCCACTGGTGCATCTGTCCGTGTACCTGCCGTTTCAGACGAAATCGCCATGCGCTTCGCATGCTTGATGCCGAGCTTGCCCTGGTTGTCCGGGTCGAGATGTCCCGGGATCACAAGTCGGCTGTTCGGCTGGCCCTCCTTGAGGGTGTGCACGAAGCGCGCCGGCACCTTGAAGATCCTCGACTTGTCGATCTTCGCCGCCTCGTCGGGCAGGACCACCCTGACGGCCTCGTGCTCCAGGTGCTGGTTCCAGTTCTTGGCGATGCTCTTGTTGAACCCAAGCCACTCCGCCTTCGTGAACTTCCTCGAGTCCAGCTCCTTCCCCTTGGTGCCTGCCTGAAAGGGACGGAGCTCCAGCGAGAACACGTCGTTCATCGCGTACAGCGTCTCCGTGTCCAGGTCCGGGACTGGGGTCTCGACGGCTTGGTTGAACACCGCCTCCACCACTGGTGCCTGAGGCACAACCTCTTCTATCTGCGATAGTGGTGTAGGTGGTGGCGTAGGCGCTCCAACACTCCCTGCTGGTGATGGCTGAGCTTCGGGCTCAGGTGTCTGTCGTGGTTCTTCCACTCATTCGGAGACAACTCCCAGCACTGGCACTTCAACGGGATTCGGAGGTATCGTCGTACTCTCCATCGAGCTCGGTCTCAAGTCCTCGAACGTATGCTGACCCCTCGAGATCCCGCTCAGGTCCATGTTGTAGTTCTCAAGGATGCTGCCGATGGCCTCGCTCGCCAAGCGCTCCTCTGGGGTTGCCGACCTGATGTGTTGTGGTGCCACCAGCAGGAGGTTCCCGTTGAACACCAGCCAATACGCTTCGTTCTGGCCTTCGCGTCCCCACTCCCTGCCGAGGATGACTGCTGGACCGTGCCAACGGTCTGCTCGTCTTGTAGATCGTGCCTGCGGCTTGAAGGTACCTGCCGCTCGCCAGAAGAACACGCACTCTCCGGGCATCCACGGCGAAGGTGTGGGTCGGTAGTTGTGGACGATGGCCTTCCTCCACTTGTCACTGTCGTCCAGCTTCGCCAGCGCGACCTGAGCCGCCTCGCGTATCTTCTGCGACCGCTGGACCTGGTAGTCCTTGAGCACCGCGTCGTGCACGGCGATCTCTGGGTACTGTTCGTCGCTGAGGAGGCTGTCCAGCACGCTGCCTGGTAACCTGTCTCCACAACCGAAAACTATCATCCTGGGGCTGTATCCTGATGGATCCACTCTTCGGTTCTTGCAGATGTTCGCCGCCGCTATGGCTAACTCCATCTCGGCCGGGCCCTGGATGGTGCACTCGTCCACAATCGCGCGCACGATGTCGTTGCTGACGGCCCCGTGGCGCTCGACCAGCCCGTGTTGCCACGGACTTTCCGTGGGCACCACTCTCATCGTGATTCCCACCGACTCCGCGTAGGATGCAAAATCCTTCCTGAACTCCGAGCCATTGTCGGAGTGGCACACAATAGGTACTCCGGCCCAGGCGCACCACTTCGTCATGAACATCCTGGCTGCCTCTGCACTGGAGGGATTCTCCAGCATGATCAGGCACGAGAACTTCGTCGCGAAATCCACGCAATTCAGAGCCAGGTACTTGCCTCCACTCGCGTCCTTCAGTTCCTTGGTGTCCACCCCGACCGCGATCCCAAATGGCGTGGGTCTCTGTCGGCTCGACACCACTCGACGTCGCTCTGGAGCTGCTCGTCTCGCGCACACCTCGCACTGCCATACCTTTGCGTAGTCCAGGTGCAGCTGGGAGGCTCCGCGTAACCTCATCACTCGTAGTAGCGCTTCACGGCCGCAATGACCCAGATTCCTGTGTGCTCGTCGTACTTCCGCGCGAACTTCAGGCGGAACATGGGCCACTTCTTGTTGGCCTCTCGTCGTAGTGAATATCTCGCCCGCTGGGAGATCCTCTGGATACAGCGGGTCCCTGGTGATGTCCGCCTCCTCTGGCACGTCCCCCTCCTGTTCCACCTCGTCCTCCGGGTTCTCGTCCTCTTCCGCTGTCGTCGGAGGTACTTGCTGCTCTTGAGGCTCTGGTGGTTGTTGTCCTTCAGGATCTTCTGGGGGTACTTCCGGTAGAACTTCAGGTAGAACTTCAGGTAGAACTTCAGGTAGAACTTCAGGTGGGGCTTCAGGTGGGGCTCCTCGGAGTCCGGGCGGAACCTTCTTCAGTATCGTCACCACCTTCCGCAGTTCTCCTCGCGTGCCCGAGGTTTCTGGTCCATCTTGGCCCACCTGTTTGTCAAACTCTTCGCAATACCACTTTTTCCCGCCACGGTCACTTGTCTTCTTGACCGCATAAACTGATATCATGGTGTGCTCGGGGTAGTTCTTCGACCATAGTTGAACCCGACCTTGTCCCACGTGTATCACAAGGTCGCCACTGCCATGCCAGCCGGGCGTCAACTTCGTCAAATACCTCGTCTGGTCGAATGAAACTGTACGTCGTAGTTGGCTAGCGCCGCCATGTGAAAACGTCGGCACTCGCACCTTCTTGATGATGCCCTTCTTGTCGTTACCCAAACGTGAACGTGTGGGTGTGGTGATAGGTGGAGTAATCGTAATCGGAGGAGTCGTAGATACAACCCTCACTCTCTTCTCTTTTTGTTGGGCGTGTGGGGCTGGCATTCTCCGTTTTGATATCGTCGGTGTGGTAATGCGTCGTCGTTTTGCCTCGTTCGCAAGGGCGTCGTGTGTATTCCTTATGTCCAACGCCTCCATGAACACGCTGATGACGGCCTCGGCGAACTTTTTCGTGTAGCCGCCGGCGTACGTGCTCGTCTTCATGTTTTGTTTAGCCAATCGCCCTTCAATCTTAGCGTGTTGTCGGTGTCCTGGGCACCGTCGTTCGAGCTTGTCCGCCATCGTCTGTGTGGACATGATGATTCGTGATGGCTTCTTAATAGGTAAATCCGAGTCTGGATGTCGGAGCCCGAACGCGCACATGTCCACCACCGTCGTGCCGTGCGACTTCAGCAGCTCCACTATTGGCTCCTCCTGGAAGGCCTTGCTTGTGAGCGGGTTCTCGCCGTAGAAGTAGGCTCCGCGCTTGCGTTGGTAGTCAGCCACCCTCTTCACGAACCTCAACGCTCCACGGGACTGCTGTTGTCGCACCTGCAACTCCTGCTGGAACGCCGGGCGGTGTGCCTGGTAGTTGTGCATCACCGTCCAGGGGTCACAGGGCCAAGCCATGGCCACCACGTCCGGCTTGTTGTCGACGACCTCCCTCCAGGCTCGTGCCCGCCCAGAACGTGTGTAGAGGTCGAAGCCCGTCTCGATGCTAATTGGCGGCATGACATGCCACCCTTGCGCCGCCGCCTCGCACGATAGAGCAAGCGTCCACGAGAATATCTCCAGGAACTTCCACCTCTTGGATCTCGACGTCACCGTCGGTGGGTCCTTGTGGACGGATCTCTTCGCCTCTGCAGCCAACGCATCCGCAACTCCTCTCGTGGTCCTCTGCAACCGCTTCTTCCTACCTCGCTGTAGGACTCCAACACGCGAGAGGTCCTTGAACCCGAGTTCGCCGGCCTCCTCCTGTGGGGTCATGTCCATCTTGCCATTGATATGGAAACACTCCGGGAACTCGTTCGGGTTGCCATACTCTCCGATGTCTACGAGGAAATGTCCCGACCGTGATTGTTTGATCGGCTTCTTGAACACTCCGGCCTCCTCGATGTCCATCACCTTCTTGCGGTAATTGACGATCACGCCTAGATCCTGCATCGCCTGCTGCGATAGCAGTGGAGGTGTTCGTCCTTCCACTCGAGCCACCTCAATGACTCCGTGTGTGCCATTTATCCCAGCAGGATAGACGTACGACTCCGTGCTGACTGCCACGTCACCGCCGCCGAACCTGAACTCCTCATTGATGTCCTTCTTGACCGGCTGGAGGCCCAAACTCTTCAGGTGTGTCTGCAAGTTGTCGTGCCACTCGTGACCTGCGACGCTGCGTCTGCACCCGCTATCGTTGATGAGCTCCGTCGTGCCGATGTCGTCCCACAACACGTCATTGACCACGAGTGCGTCCTTCTTGTCCTCGCGGCTGTACGCCTTGTCCCTGATTTCCTTCGCGTAGTTCGTCTTCGGGATCCGCTGGACGTATCGGATGCAGTTCTTGCAGATCGCGAACGTCCAGGTAGATGTGCTTGTCCAGCGTACGTTGTCCAGGATCTCGCCGGAGCCCGCATTATTGTGCTCGCAGGGATTCTCCACCTGGTCGGTGATGAACGA